CCTCAACCAAACCAAGAACACAGTCTTACAGCCGCTTCATCCAACTCCACAATGAGGACAAGGTCTTTGGTGTTATATATTGTTCTTAAGTGCCATCTAGTACCAACCCTATAAATAAAAGAACTATTGTCCTTCTTCTAAGTTTGTAAAGAGTTTCCACAGGCATGTTTAGGAAGTAGATACCACTCCTGTTCCAAGCCTGTCTTAATCAGTGAGCTCTACCAAACGTTGTCACTCATGTGTAACCATTATGGCATCATGTCACACCATTCAGTAACAAAGAATCCAAGGTTCCCTCAATACAGAGAAAGGGCATAACAATTCTGTACCACTTAGGAGAATGTTCCTTTCAAAGACAAATAAAAACTAATCACTCCAGAGCCAGCCTCCATCCAGCACAAAGGGAAAAAAGTCAACAACTCACCTCTCTAAGGCCACATGAGGTTTCCTCATGGAATTACACATAGACCCTCTAATACAAGTAAAACTTTAAATATATTACTTTTTCTATTTAAAGATTGCTTTCAACCTGTTGTATTGCAATTTCACCTCCACTCCTGAATTCAAAGAATAGTGCCTCTTCATAAATCTTGTTATGTCGTCTCTTAAAAGCGTGAGCACAGTTACTAAGATTTTAGCCATTAATATCTGCTAATTGTGCCAACAAGCTACAGTGCAAAATTTAAAACATTTTCACACAATTATACCTTGTTAGAACCAATTTGACTGCATTAAATGTGATTTTTATGTAAATCTGTGTAACTGTCAATTTAGAAGCTAAGGAGCTAAAATTAGAGCATGGTGTTTAAATTTTTTTTTCTGTGAAAAGACCTACGGGGAAGTGTCACAGATATTTGGACTGGAAAAAAAATAAGTTGACTCAGAAGAACCTCAGGCAGGTATCTTCACTAAAGTACATTGTAATATCTCAAAAGTGCAGTTGTACAATATTATCCATTATGTTTTGCATTCCTGTTGTAGAATGTGACAGTCCATTTCCTCAAGTTTTTCTTGCACTTTTACCATGGTGAGAGAGAAATGAGGGTAGACAGGCATATGGATTTACTCACAAGGACTTCACAGACAGGTAGTATTTTGCTCAGGAAAGCTTCCATGTTTCACTTAATAATGGGAAAAGAAACCAGGTTGACAGAATTCCTAAATAATATTCTGCATTTCTAGTTTTAATGTAGCATAGTGAATTCTCAAGTATTCCCAAGGGCTATCAAGATCACAGCTATTTTAATAAGCCTATGACCAAATCCTACTGTGTATATTGTTCTGGAAACCTTTTCCCCCCTCCTCTCTTTCTTTTTTCATCTTTGCAAAGATCAGTGAAATCACAAGACCACAATCAGCACTGCTGTTGGACCATTCTGCTTAATTCATAAGCACACTCCCTCACATGAATCTTCAGACTGTGTGGGACGTGCTGTGACCACTAGACCACAGAAACTTCAAGAGCAGAATCTCTGCAACTTGGGCTTCTCTGAAACTTCCCACGGTCCTAGTTAACGGTGTTGTGCTCTCAATGGCATTTAGCAAAATCATTGGCTACCTGACTAATAGATACGTGGTTAGCTGCCAGGAGCGTGAGCACAATTACTAGGATTTTAGCCATTCATTATTACCAATGGGGGGAAAATTAAAAAAAAAGAAGAAAATTTTAAAACAACTAAGTTGAGTTTCTGTCTGCTGTGGTAGGAGCACAGGGCAAATACTTTGGGGGGGGAACCCTGGAAATTCGAGCTTATCAGCTGTTTAGATGCACGGACAATTCAATGTGTTAGGGATAATTTCTAGGGAAACTTAGTAGTTGAGCAACAGTAAAGACCTCAGTATTCGTAAGGAATCTTTAACTCAGTAAATGATGGATTGGCTTGCTGAGGTATTATCAAGTTCAAGATCCCTAGATGTGATAGAAATCACAGTGATAAAGAAAGATTAAGGAAATTCGTGGAAGTTCTGGTGACCTACTGGTAAGAGTCAGTGCTGCAATCCTGATGGCATGCAGTTTGAATCGTCCAGCTGCTCTGCTGGAGAAGGATGGACAGTCTCCTGTCATGTGATTAACTGCCTCTGAAAATCCACTGGAGGGCCAGCTATCGATTGGTCCCAGCTCGATGGTACACAACAAGAACAATAGCAACAACAAAGGACGTTATAGACCCATGTATGATATTCAGAAATCATAAATGCATATTTAGTTACATACTATTTTTATATCTGAATCTTTGAGCTTTTATCATGTACTACATAGACTTTTTAATAGGGATTTTCATTCAAGGCTTTATTTTTCTCCTCAATATTATTTATTTTGTTGTGGTTGTTTAGAATATACTCAGCACAGCACCAGTTCAGTAGTTTCTGCAGGTATAATTTAATGACATTGCTCACATTCTTCAAGTTGTGCAACCATTTTCACCCTCCTTTCCTGAGTTGTTCTTCGCTCTGAAGTTTTTCTTTGGTAGTTAAAGTGACTGGTGTCTCCTGAAAGAGAGCTCTGGTGGCATAGTACATAGGGAGATTTACTGCTAATTGTGCCTCCCTGGTTGTTCAAATCTGCCAACAACTCTATGGGGAGGAGGTGGGCAGCCTCCTCCTTTGCCCTTTACAGCCTCTGAAATCCTGGAGGGTCAGCTATGAATTGGTTCCAGTTGAGTGGTAAGGACTATCATCTCCTCCTGTGTTGATAGTCACAAAAGAGTAGCTTACTCAAAGCAAACCATTTTAGGTCATTAAGCTAAACTGTTGTTCTGTTTTAAGGTGATTTCTAGGGAATAGTTTTATTTTAAGGTTTCTTTCTCATGGTGTAGTTCAGGGCCTCTGTAACTCCAAAAAGGAGAAAATTTTGGTCGTGAAAATTAGAAAGTCACGAAAACTTTTAATTCTGTTCTGCATATTCCTGTTTTTGATCAGAATCCTTCTATGTAATTTTGGGTTAAACCTTTCAATAAAGATAACCAGGCATCATGCAGTTCTGATATAATGAGGGAAAGGGATTTATTTTTTCTGGGAGGCAAATAGCCATGCATTCTGTTATCTTCCCCTTATTCCTGACTCTTTTCTTCCTCTGGTGCACTAGGTGATACAGACCACTTAAGCCTTAGAGTGATGCTTTTATTTATTAATTTTATTCTGAGTTGAGTAAAAGTTTACAAAGCATATTGGTTCTCTTCAACCAGTCATAAACATTTTGTTTCAGAACATTAATTACAATGACTGTAATGTAATCAAGGAAGCACTGGTAGCCTTGTGGTGAGGAACTATGTTGCCAAGCCAAAGGCAGGTAGTTTGAATCCCCCAGATGCTCGGGAGGAGAAAGATGAGCAGTCTACTCTGGTGTGATTTGCTGTATCTGAAAACCTATTTGATTCAGCTGTGATGCAGTGACATATAAAAAAAAATGTAATAGCATTTCCCCTACTTCTTCCATATAATTCAAATTTCCATTAATCCTCCTGCCCTATTCCTTCCTACTTTTATCCCTTTGTCCTTTTGCAAATGCTGCTCTTTTTGATCCTGTGTGGTTTTTTATCCTAAGGAGTGAGTGCTTCCCTCATGTTATTGTTCATGTTATAGACCTGTCTGTTGTTTGGCTGAAAGTTGAGACATGGGTGAGTGTTCTGGGTTCAAAGAGTAACTAAGGACCGTTGTTTTGGGGATTCCACAAATGTCTGTTGGACCAGGAAGCTTGGTCTTTTTTATATTTTTGAATTTTGTTCCATATTTTCCTCTACCTTCTCCAGGATTTTCTACTGTGATCCCTTTGAAAGTGATCATCAGGGTTAAATGGACATCATCTAGTTTCTTCTAGTTTTAAGGTCATAGAAGCTCAGACTCTCATACTTTATTAGTCCATTGATTGTTTCAGCTAATCTTTGCTTTTCTCATTCTTTTTGGTACAGGACAGAGAGACCAATAATTGTAGCATAGTTGGCTCCTTGCAAACTTCTAAGGCCTCAGTCACTATTCACTAAGTCATTGCCTTTGTGGACTCTGTTGTTAGAGGCCTGTTTTTAATATAATCCCATAAGGAGAAAATGTTATTATCTTCATTTTATGTTGTGGACAAAATGAGGGCAAAGAGATAAACTAACTTGCAATACAACCAGAAAACAAGAAATTTAGGGTTATTATAACTGTAATTATTTTTTTATTGTGAATGTTAATAAATCATTGTCACATGGAAAGCAATTGATACAGGAAGTATGGGATTTGGAGTTAGTTTCTATCACCAGGAAAATGTCACCTGTACTCTTTTCCCTTGGTTTATCTGGGATAGTGGAAAATCATTGCACTGCATATTGCAAATCATCCTATCTTCACCAGAAATCAACCCAAGCACTGGGGACACAAATGGGAGGCTTGCACTGATTCTGGTGATTGAGCCTGCCTTGAATGTGCTATTGGAGTTTATATTTTGAGAAAAAAGAAAACACAAACAAATTTTTTTGTGAGCCCTGTGTCCTATAGAATAGTAGACCCTCTCAGCCTTAATTCAAGTCGTGGCTTAGTGTTAAGGAGTTGTGCTGCCAACCCAAAGCCTTGTGGTTTGAATCCATCAGCTGCTCCGTGGGAGAAGGATGGATAATCTCTTCCCATGTGATTTATAATCTCTGTGATTTATAATCTCTGAAAAATCTCCAGAAGGTCAGCTATGAGTCAGTTGTGATTCGATGGCATATAACAACAACCTCAAAGATATTTTGAAATTAATGAATTCATTCTATTTTCTGTCTTTTTTCTGTCTTTTTTGGGTTTACCTGTCTAAATGACATTTTCTTTCTTCTAAGATAGGGTTAGTTTTATGAGAGTATCTTCAAATACTGATAATCAATTAGTCATCTAATCCATTAAAAGTAAGAATGGATGGTAAAAGCATATGCTTGCTAAATGAACTAGAATGAATAAAGTTGCAATTTTGATTATTATTACTGACTTCATCAAAACACATACAGATGCAGATCATTCTAATATATTTGTACTTATTTTCCTAGATGTAATCTTCCTCCCTTGTCAAGTGAATATACTAAAGATGTTGGGTCCAGAAGTCATCTAGTGACAGCTAATCCCAGCATAATTCGGCAAAGGTAAGAATTTATTATTCCTTTTCGTGAGGAGCTAAAGTAGAATACTTGTGGAATATTCATCATATGAAAGGCAGTGAATATAATTCAACTTGAGAAGCAAAGAGTCAAACTATCTGGACAGACAGGATGGGTAAAAGAAGGAATTGTAAATAACTAGGCCAGATTACAGAAATCCAAACATTATTTCACACTTCCTCTGGGATTTTGTTTCTTACCCTTAGACATGGTGGAAAAAAATGAAACATCAGCTATGTTGCTCCTTGAAAAAAACATACCACACTTGGAAAGGTGGAGGGTCAGTACAAGAAGGAAAGACCCTCATTCAGGTGGATTGATACAGTGGCTCTAGCAGTGGGTTTGAGTATATCAGAGATGGTCAGTATGGCACAGGATAGGACAAGGCTCAGATCCAGTGTTCATAGGGTTGCTATGAATCATAGTCAACTTGATGACACTTACTGCTAACAAACAATATCTTGTTTCTTCATTGCTACTATCTTCTAATTTGTTGACTTCAGTCCCAACTCGAATGTTAACTGTGGACTGAATTAATGTAAAAAAATGAAAACAAAAAATGATCTATCTACTGCATAAGCATGCATTAAAATAGTAATAATGTCAGAATGGTCTTCTATGTATATATGATATTACATTACATTATAATATATTCAGATTTGGGAAAGCAGGTAGAAAATTCTTGCTGCAGTATAGATTCCAGAAATTTTAGCCACAACGCTGAGGTCAGAATCTTGCTGATGAAGTTGCCTCAGAACACTAGTGGCAATTTCTCCAAGGCTGCCTTCATCTCTGTGAAAAGAGGAGCTTCACACTGCATCTGAAAATCCACTGGAGGGTCAGCTGTGGTTGGTTCTGACTTGGCTACATGCAACAACATGTATAAAAGAATAAGTAGATATGTGTTGGAGAAAGTGCAACCAGAGTGCTCCTAGGAGGCAAAGAAAACAAAGCTTTGTCTCTCCTACTTTGGACATGTTGCTAGGCCAGGCTGTTCCTTGGAAAGGGACATCATGCTTGGAAAGATGGAGGGTCGGTGAAGAAGAGGAAGACTCTCAATGAGATGGACTGACACAATGATGGCAGCAGTGGGCTCAGGTGTCAGAGATGATGATGAGGGTGACGCAGGATAGGACAGGGTTCAGTTCTGTTGTCTATATATTCGCTATGAATTCTATTCAATTCAACAGCACCTAACAAACAACAGTGCATCTAGAAATAAAGGGTGAAATATCAGAATGTCTTGGGCTCAGGGTTTCGTCTTCTGAGAATTTACTGTCCAGCTGAATTGGTCAGGTGTTTTACTGTGTCAAGATTTTACATTATTTGTTTGGGCTCAAAAGTAGATATCTAGAAATGAAATTAAATGATTTTTCATTTCATCCGATACTAAATGTACCTTTTACCATCTAAGCTATGACTACCTGTTTCTCATGTCTAAAACAACGTTATACATTTTGAGGTTGGGGTGTGTGTGTGTGTGTGTAGATTTTGACATCCTACACTATTAGTATATTTAATAATCTGGGAGGTGGAAGGGAAAGGGACAATTAGTAAAGTACAGTTTGGAAAAGCAACGCTTCTTAGACAGATTAGTCTTTTTCATATAAATTTCAGAGAAGTTTCCACATGAATATTGAGGGTCTGGGGATTTATGGGGATGAAGATTAAAATGAGTTTCACAAGAATGATATTTGCAAAGGTATCATTCAACAAATAGTTGTTGAAATCTACTCAGAGAATACAAAATTAAGTGAGATATTATCTAATCCTGAAGGGGGTTCCCAAATCAACAGGCATTTCCTGGCAACTTTAAGTCCATAGTGAAGGTATCAGGGAAAGCTCTGAACCCCTTCTAACACTTATAAATAATTTTCATATGTGTGCATTTTCCATCAGATTTTCCAAGGACTTAATTACTCAGAAAAATTATAATTCACTGACTTAAATTTAGTTTTCCCACAGAATTATGATATAAAAGTAGAGATTGTTGTTGTTAATCGCTGTTGAATCAAGCACAACTCACAGCGACCCTATGAACCAAAGACCTAAATCCTGTTTTATAACTAAAAGTAGATATTAGAGTTTGCTCGATTAGTTTCTCTTACACTCACTCACTTCCTCACTGCTGTCAAGGGGTAACTGACCCATAGCTCACTCTTCATTACATTTCCAAGACTGTAAAACATGTGGGAGAAGGTTAATCATCTTTGTTCCATGGAATTGGTGGTGGATTCGATCCACCAAACACATGCGCAGCAGATAGCAGGGTGACTCTTCACTAGAGTTCAAAAATCAGTTCAGCCATTTTGCCCATTATAGGAGTACATGTCATTCCTAGGGATAGTATTTATTATTTTTTAAAGTGAATTTCAGCTTCACGAAAAAGGAACAAGGAGGTAGAAACATTTCTGGAAGACAGTAGGAAACACATTGGCTAAGTGACTGAGTAGAAATCACTGAATTACCCTCTGCATGCCTCATGATATCAGAAAAGAGCTCAGTTGGTGCTCTTCCCTGCCGTTTGTTTGGCCCTCAACTCATGGTGACCCTGTGCACAACAGAACAAAACATTGCTTGAGAACGCATAAGCTTTCACTGCTGATTTGCAGAAGTAGATCACCAGGATTTTCTTCTTGGTCTGGAAGCTCTACTGAAACCTGTTTAGCATGATAATAGCATGCAGTCTTTCACTGGCACACTAGTGATCTCTGCACATGAAGTACAATATCTGGGAATTGAACCCACGTCTCCCGTATGGAAGGTAAAGATTCCCCCATGGACAAGCAATCAATGCAACTCAACAACTGGTAACATAATTCGGTTTGAAAATATTCTACTGGTTTTGGAATTATTTCTTTGCTGACTTCTGGAGGCTGTGGGTTGGAGAGACTCAGAGATTGGATCAGAGAAATAGTAGAATATAGAATTATTGGGATAGGCCAAAAGAAATAGTAATGGCTAGAGAAGAGAAGAGGACCCAACAGATAGTTGGCAAGGAGAGGGAATTCTTTGAAAACCTTAGGCAGGCTGGATACAAAGAACTGAAAGGTCTAAAATAATTGTAAATTATTTTCTGAAGTAGGGGCCCTAAGATTATTTCTCCTTGATCCTCTTTTCCCTTTTCTAGCTCTTTAGACTCTTAATAGAGCATTGAATTTTTTTTTTTCCCCATCCTATGTTCGCGTTTATTCTCTCCAGCGTTTAGGGAAGGGGTCCTCCCAGAGAAGCTCTTGGCTTTTCCTTAATTCCTTCTACCTTGGCACCGTCTATTCCCTCCTGAGACCTGGGCTCGAGGTGGTCCTGGGGTCACTGTGACTTTGGATGGAGGGGGAAATGAGGGGTGTGTGGGGGGGGGGGTTGTCCTGCAGGAAGCCTCAGCATTGAATTTTTTAAAGAATTATGTATGTGTGTGCAAATGGCAGAGGAACTCTCACCTGCAATTGGCATGCTTTATGCATTGAAAGTGAGCAAAATTGACTCACTCACCGCAGGACAAGAGGAGCATGAAGAGTTGTAAACCTCCTAGGAATTTGCAGTTGGAAATTCTGGGATATACTGCATATTTACTTACTACATGTCCCTTTTGGAGTGTAGAGACTCCTTAACTCAGAGAGATATTTTATTGTAGCCAAGGCATTTGTGCCTCGGTTTAACTGTGAGAAGAGACCTATAAGTGTAAAGTATAAAATTGAATAATTTTCTTATCAAACTTCTTATGCACCAAGAGCTGCTTGGAGCAAAATTGTTAGGACTCCATCTGTGAATAATAATGTTTTATGGGGGTGATTATTTTTCACTGATTTTATATTGTTCAGCTATAAATGTACTTTGCTAATTAACCACATGAAAAAGTATGAGATTGCAATTATTTACTGGTATGTGTAGTAAAGAAATATTTCCACAGTCTCTAAAAAGTGCTTGATTATGAAATTTAGATTTATAATTAATTTTACTATGGAATATGAGCCACATGGATTAAATATAGTCTCAGAAATTACTTATTGTAACTATATTTTATTATTATAATGACTGAAAGTTTCTGGTTTGGCAGTTATAACTGGTTAGACCAGACCCTTGGTTAGACCTTGAATATTGTAATCACTTCAATGACAAAATTAAAAAAGAGTTTCCTTTTAAGAATAGCCTGCAACGTGTGTGTGTGTGTGTGTGTGTGTGTGTGTGTGTGTGTGCGTGCGCATGTGCGTGTGTGTTTTCTAGCGAAACTCGCTTGTTCTTGCTTAATTTGAATCCTGATCTGGCAGCAAAGTTGTCACCATGTGATTTTTGGTGCTTTGGTCCTGAGCCAGCAGTCTGCTGTCCTACTTGCTAATTGTGAATTAATCAGCCCCTACAGCCATGTGAGTTAGGAGAAGCCTCTTACCTGATGTTTGAATAATGCACTTGGGACTTTCCAGCCTCTATGTGTGTAACTCATTTCCTTAAGCTAATATCTATTTAAAATCTGTTTGTCTGTATATCTATGAAACCGTTTTTGTTTTTCCAGAGAACCTAGTTTAAGGTAGTTATATGTTGGTTAATGTTACATTGGTCTTCAATAGTTAATCACCTGGCTGTTAACTGAAAGTCCAAAGATTTGAGCTCACCAGCTTGGGAGAAAGAGGTGGTTACATGAAAAATCAATGGAGAAATTCTGCTCTATCCTACAGAGTGACTTTAAGTAGGAATTGACTAGAAGGAAATGCATTTCATAAACGTTATTACATGTATCTGTACTGAATAAAAGTTAGTTTTACAATTTGAGTTAGGATAAGAATACGTATCTATAATATTGTTATTGCTTTAATTTCTTTACTGGGGAGTACAGTTTTTCTTCTGATAAGATCTTGTGTTTGGTTGAATCTCTAAATCATTATAGACATTTTAAACTTAGATTTCTGCTATTTGCTTTCATATAAAAATCTTTATGATAAACGCTTGCATGCATACACCCACACTCAGAGAGTGACCACAGAAAGAAGGAA